GCCCCACTAAACCCCCCCCCCACCCCCCCCTAAACGTACGACAGTGAACATCAAGAGCCTGCGCACCTGGATGACGCTGGGGTCGTCGATGGAGGTGGAATTCACCGTGGCGGGCGGGGGGGCGGCCACGGGGGCAACCATGGCGCTGTCGACCATGGAGCAGGCCAGGTTGTTGAAGCGCACCGACTGGATGGCACCCACGTTGAAGGGGTTGCTGCTGTTCACCACCTCTGTGGGGGTGATGGGTGTGTGTCGATTGAGGTGGGCGACATGGGATGACCATGAGGTGGGGAGCAAGCTGGAGGTGTGTGACATGAACTCCGCAGTCAGGTATTTTGACCACAGGCCCCCTGGCCTGAACATCAAGGTCCCTAGGGCATTGCAGGGAGCTGACCCGCCCAGCCAGGGCCCTTCATGACCGGATGATGCTGGACCAGCCCTTCCTCCTCCACACTTCAGGCCCAAACCCGCTACTGCCGCTCAAGACTCACCGTCGCCTTTCGTCCCCAGGAACCCAAACTGGTACACGCCAGCTGGGGCCAGCACTTTGTTGCTGTCCGAGTGCATGATCTCCACATTGGATTCCCCCGGTGTCAGGAGGAAGACGTCCGGGTCAAAGACATCCTGCAGCATGGGGAAAGAGGGACCTTGATGGGCATGGAGAATCATGGTCTGGGCATCCCAACTCGCAGGGATTGCGCCTCTGCATTCCGCCATCACAAGCCGGCGTGGCACCTGCAACCTCAGGCCCCCCCTGCAACCTTACCCGCGTCGAAGCAATGGTAGAGGAGTATGGGAAGTCCCAGCTCAACTGCCACTCCTCAATGGTGATCTGTGTGCCGATTGCACGGGGGTGCTGAGTCCCACACCCATGTGCGGAGGGCATCATGCCCACGAGTCCGGAGACAGCAGAGCAGGCTGGGCCTCTCAAGGCAGGACAGGCCGAGTCTCCTTTGGGCGGCAGGACACGCCGCACTGTGCCCACAGGTGTGACACCTGCGGCCCCTTCTTCCCCCCCTGGCCTACATTGTCGTCTAGGTTGTGCACGGTGACCGTTGCCACGAAGATGGGTACCGACGTCGTGTTTGTCGCCTGCCCCAGGTTCACCTCGTAGGACAAGGTCACCGGGCAGGTATCGGACAGGGCACTGACGTCGGGCGACCCATCCGTGGCTGGGGGTGAGGCGGCATTCTGGGCCTGGGCCTGTGGAGCCCACCCTGAGAGCAGGGTCAGGGCGAGGACCAGTGCCGTGGGCCGGACCAGTCCCCGCCTAGAGCCCATGCTGCAGGGTCGGGGACGTCCTCATGGGGGGGGGGGTCGGGCTGGAAGGGAGCGACGGTCGCTCGACCGCTCCGGAGGCTGCTCGTGGACCTGAAGAATCAAGGGATGTGGGAGGGGCAGGCGTGGGGACCATTGCTGTCACGCCATTGGGTGGGGGGGCCATGGAGGCGTGGATCCGCCGTGAGATTTGGCACCGCGTTCCGTGCGTCTCACCCGTGCACTCCTCGCGTCCAGTCAGACAGCAGAAAATGGGTGTCGGATGTGGAGCTAGGTCCGTCCTACTCGGGGGAAGCGGAAAGAGAGCAGATCCCGACGGCAGACGAGCAATCCTTGGGTGTGCCTATGTAGCGGTGCCGGGGGACACAGTCCAGGCGGCAACGAGCCGGCCCGTGGCTTCAGAGTGATCGCTGTAATGTGGAGTAGAAATCGATGAACCTCGCTCCCCTGCGGTCGGTTGGATCTGACACCCTCCCTGCACTAGGCCTGGTGGTGCATGAAGCCGGGGCCAGGAGGAATAGTGTCCCAAGTTCCGGGGTCGATGAAGGGGGGGACCAATGTAGGGGGAGTGGCCCCTCTCCCTCACACCCCTTCCGAGATCGGGCAGAGCGCAGTCGAAATCCAAGTTTGCCTCACATTCAATAATGGAGTCCCACCTTGACGCAATCTAGGCTGAGACTTGTGTCCCGGTGTGGGTAGCCATGGGGTGGTATCCGGCCACCCCGCGACCCTCCCCCTGGACTCTGTTGGGGGAGAGAGGCATCCTGCCAGCCATTTGTATTATCTTGTCATGTATCGTTCTGCCGACTTACGGTGTGCGCGCGCCGCATCCGGCATCTGGGGCACGGCGTCTGCAGGCGCCTTCTTCGTGCAGCCCCTGCTCAAACCTCGAGGCGGACAATGCGGCATGCCAAGCCCTCTCCAGCGCCACGCAAGAGATGGCCAGGTCCCACCTGCTGTCCGCCTGCACAGCTTCCAGCTTGGCAGTTTCATCAGCATCTTGCTGCCAGTCTCCATTGTGGTCCAATGCGGCTGTTTGTCTGTGGTAGGTGTTGGAGGACCTTGGGCGGTGGTGCAGCAGTCGTGTTCCCAGCATCATTGGGGTCCGTGTTAGCTTCAAGCAGCCTCGCACTGAATTTTTCCTTGATGAAGAGAACATTGAGGAGACGAACAAACCCACTCCCTGCTCTGCAGTGGCAATGGCTTTTCCAGCATAGGGAGCTCCATTAGCTCCACGGATGTCCTGGCAACCTGCACCTGTGGCAGCAGGTGGGATGAGGTTGGGCTGTTTACCTAGGCTGCATCAGTCACATAGACCTTTATAAGATGAAGCGTTTTTGGAAGTTTGGCATTGCAAGTTAGACTCGGCACCCTAATCCTCATGTATCTGTGTCAGCCGTGCTTCCCCTCCCGGCAGAATCAAGTGTACTGTCTCGTCCACGTTTTCAAGACACCCCTGACAGCCCATTCCCTCCAATGAACGCAGCCCCACCTCCGAGTCAGCTGCCAGTCCTTCCCCTGGCACGGCGAGCCCCTCCCCCTCGGCCCCTCCCTCGCCAGCCACCAGCGGAGCAGCAGCCGGCGACACGACTGGGGCAAGCTTCACCGCTGGGGTTGGTGGGTCGGCCAACAATCCGCTTTCAGACGACCAGTACAACAGCATCATGAACAGCGTGGTCTTTTCCCCATGATTCCAGAGGCTGGAGGCCGGGCGTCTCCGGCCCATTCTTGATTCTGATTTATTTACTCGACAGCAAAGGGCGGTTACCTGCCCCGTGTTGCCTGCCCTGGCCTGCCAGTTATATATCCCGCGAAGTGCTTGAGAACATCAAGCACAACATGTACAAACACCAGCCGAACACCCCCGCCAAGCGAGCGTGGTGCAAGGTGGGGCGTCCTGCTTGTGGAGTGCAGAGGCCACCCCTGCACACCAAGGGGCCAGGCACGCTGTGCTTGGACCTCGTGCATGCTTGAACTGGAGTTCGTACCAGGGTGGGCCCCCAGCCATCAGGTTCCAGCTTCAGGAGGGGCATCCGTGCTCTCTTCCAGCACACGCTCAAAGTCCTCCACCCGAAAGGGCTTTCCCAGCCACCCAGCAAACCCATGCTGTGGAATCACACAGATGAGTGAACTGGGGTTGAAGCCTCACGATTCCAGGAGTTGCGGGGGTGCTGGCGTCTGGAAGTGGGGTGCAGTGCCATCCTCCCTCCCCGTCCAACACACCTCCCATCAGGGAGCCTGCCCACAAGAACCAATCCCCCCCCCGCATCCACCCTTACCACTCCGCACACACCGCGACACATCGGTCCCTGGTTTCTTGAAAGGCATCCGCCGTCACCGCCACAAAGGGGGACCGGAACTCCGGCCATCGCCGCTTCGCCTCCTCCAGCACCTCAATTCCATCCTGGGTGAATCGGGGGAGGGCGCAGGGGTGTGGGGCCCGTCCACGTTCTGACGGCCGCCGCCGGCGGCAGGGGCGGCCCCCTCGCTCCCTCCCCGCCCACACGCGCGGGGCATCCAGTCCACGTTGGCCCCGCCAGTGCCCCCCGACACACCAGTCCGGGCATGTGGAGGTCCATGAGGATGGCGTGGAAGGCGTCGGGCCCCCCCGCCTCGACCAGGGACGAAAGGGCCTGCTCCCCGTCCTGCGCCGTCTCGACCTGGGTGTACCCCATGCGGCCCAGCAGGCGCAGCGCGACCTTGAGAGGGGCAGAGGCAGCATGTGTTTGGATCCCGAGCGGTGGGGGAGCGAGGCATTCCATCGACCTGAGCCCCTGGCCGCGGCTTCCTGAAGGGCGACTGCGGCCAGCGCTCCCTCTGAACCCCGAACCCACACCGCCCTCAGGCAGCAGAGAGCGCTGTCGGCCACCCCCAACGATGCCTTGCACCCGCCAACCTTCATGTTGATGGCGTTGTCCTCGGCCAGGAGCAAGCGCATGCCGGCGCGCCTCTCCCTCGCGGCGGCACGAGCACCCGGCGAGGGCGCCGGCGGCGCCCCGCCGGCGTCGCCGCCCGCGCGGCTCAGGCATGTGCCGGGAGCATGGCGTGCATCAGCCGCTCCCCCACACCGAGGCCCGCTCGCGGGACCTCGACCACCCGCCGCGCTTCCCCACGCAGCGGCCAGCACGTGGCGCAGAGCGCTCAGCAGGCGGGTGTGGCGCACGGGGCGGCTCACCACAGCGTACGTCAGGCGGCGCGGGAGGGGCGGGGGTAGGGCCGCGGCTGCCGGCAAGCAGCTGTCCCCGTGGGGGGACGGTGAGGCCCCCTCGGCCGGCGAGCCACCCAGGTGCAGATCTTCCAGCCCAACCAGGGCGGCGCCGTGACCGGCTGCGAGCCCCGGCGGGTGGGCCTCCCCCGGCCACCCCAGGAACACCTGCGACGGCGGAGGGTCTCGGCGGCGCCCTGAGCAGTCGAGGCAAATGCGCGGCGGCCCTGTGAACACTGCGCCGACACAGCGCCACTGCTCTGTTTCCATGACCAGTGGCTCCGCCAATGCACGACCTCGTCCCTCCTCCTGTTCTCCCCCCCTCCAACCCACCACGCAGCTGGCCTCCTCCGGCGCGGCGTGCCAGCTCAGCAGGTGGAGCAGGCCGTCCAGGCGGGCATCCATGACCACGATGTCAAAGGGCCGGTCGCGGGCGGCCTGCGTGGGGCGGACCTCCAGCTCGTCCACCTCGCACGCGAGGCGCAGGGTGGCCCCCGCCCCACTGCCGCCGCCGGCAGCCGGATCCCAGGGCCCCGCACCCGAGGGCGCCGCACCGGATGCCCTCGTCATGGCGCCCTGCGCGGCGGGGCTCCTCAGGCGCAGGCTCACCGCCACCTCTGCCTCGCTGTCCGGGGCGAGGACGGTGCAGCCGGCACGCCTCAGCACCACGGCAGCCACCTGGGTCGTGCGTGCAGTGTGGAGGAAGAGCGGGATGTGTGAGTGTATTCATGTACGGGGCTCCACTTGCGCAGGGCAGGCCAGAGGCACTGATCATGCCGCCATGTGCCACGCTGCCCAGATCTCAGCAGTTTACAGCTGGTCAGCCAGGGAGCCATCATGGACCTCCCAGGGGACCCCTTCCCACTCTCCCTTTGGTTTCTCGATCCGTTCGGTCCCCTCTAGAACCTCCTCCTCCTCACCTGGCGCACCACCAGGCATGGCTCAGCCAGGAGGACACGCAGCCCACGCAGCCCCTTGGGGGTGCTGGGGGGCCGCTCCGTTGAGGGCATCCGGCTCGGCTTCCTGGCACTCGCTGCCGCATGATCGTCCTCCTCGGGCACCGCCTCGATGCGGATGTGCCCATGGAAGGTGGAACCCCAGCCTAGCCCACGGGACTGTGCATGGGAGCGGGTGCGGCGATACGAGGGAGGCCCACACTGGCAGGACGTGCACAAGCGTGCATGCAGAGCACACCCTGCCCGGCGTGGGAGGCCAGCATGCCAGTGCCTGGCGGGATCACTCACGCCTTTCCACCTGCCTGGGTGCACAACCCCACACCCAACCTCCCAAACTCCAGCCTGCCTTACCAACGAGGAGCCCCCTTCCCTCCCACTGCAGACCCACCTCGGCCCACATGCTGCCGCCCAGCGCCTCGCACAGCCGCATGCTGATGGTCAGGCCCAGGCCGGAGCCGCCGAAAGCCCGGGTCTGGGAGGCATCCACCTGGGAAAAGGGCTGGAACAGGCGGCTCAGGTCCGCCTGTCCGATGCCGATGCCGGTGTCCTGCACCCTGAAGTGCAGCGTGAAGCTCCGTCGCGCGGCGAGGGCCGGCGGGGCAAACCGCGTGCCTCCGACCTCGACCCGTGCCGGGTCGCCCGACTGCTGTGACCCCGCGGCCTGGGGCGCTGGCACGGCCCACATCTCCAACAGCACCGCCCCCGTCTCCGTGAACTTGACGGCATTGTTCAGCACGTTGAGCAGGACCTGCTGCAGCCGTGGCCCGTCGGTGATCACCGTCGCCGGCACCGAAGGGGCCAGGTAATACGCCATCTAGGGGTGGAAGGCAAGCATGGCGAGTGGTGAATGTGGAGGGCCGTATCGGCGGCTGGCCAGGGTCGGGCCGTGGGGTGCACTGGTCCAGGCTGCATGGTGTCAGGGTCGTGCCCACCCAAACTTCACATGCCAACCCCAGCCCCCACCTGCAGCCGCCTGTCGGCGGCGAGAAGGCCCGCGATCTCCACCGCAGCCTCGATGACACTCTGCAGCTCCACCTTCTTGGGGTTCAGGACCTGTTTGGGTAGATGGGGGGAGGCAGGGGGTGAGGGGGGGGTGGTCATCAGGCACGGGCGGCGGCCGGCAGGGTGGCACGCATCGGCACTGATCAGGCACGCCAGTGCGGGGCCGGGCGACTCGGGTTGAGGACATCAGGAATTTCCCACATCCAGCCGCCCCAGCCCAGCCCCTCCCACGCCCACCATGCGATCCGCCTCGATGCGAGAAACGTCCAGGATGTCTGACACCAGGGTCAGGAGCGTCTCTCCAGACACCCTGATCGTGTCCACCAGATCTCTCTGACACGGGTGTGTGTTGCGGAGGATCCGAGTGGGTGTGTGTGTGGGGCTGGAGAGGGGCAACAAGGTCTGAAAACAACCTGCCTCCAGGGATCACCCATTCCAGGCGTTCCACATGATTCTCGTGGCATGGCATGACAGCGGACCCCTCCCTGCCCAGGCAACCCCTCACCTGCACCGGGTCCAGGGTGGTCCCCGCCAGCATCTGCCCCACCGAGATCATCCCATTGAGGGGCGTCCGGATCTCGTGACTCATCCGCGCCAGGAACTGGCTCTTGGCCTCCGTGGCCGCCGAAGCCTGCGAGGGGGCACAGAGTCAGGCACCAGAATAGCATTAGCCATGTGTCATCGTGCTACTACTACGCCAAACCACCCATTCCCATGCACGTCCAGACACCCCGCCACAAGTCTCAAAAAGGCAGCACAGCGCCCTCCAAGCTCACCAGGGAGGCGGCGTGCGTGGCTGCCAGGGCAGCCTGCTTGTGGCTGGTCAGGTCTGTGACGTCGGCCTGGATGCCTACAAAGTGCGACAGCCTGCCCTTGGCGCTGAAGATGGGCGTGACCGAGAGGTAGTTGACAAAGGGGTCGCCGTTCCGCTTGTAGTTCTTCATGGGTGAGGGGTGGAGGGAGGTGGGGAGGGTGGAGGGTGTTGGGGTCGATGGTGTCGCGAGGGGTGCGCAGCATGTTCTGGGCGGTACGAAGGGTGGAGGGGGCAAGCCAGGCGCGCAGGATTCAGCCATCTGGGGCCACTGCTCACGAGGTGGCCACGCAAGCGGCCCAGCCCTCTGAACTCATCCAAAGGCTCCCCCACCTCATGAACCCCCCCCTCATACAATCAGCCCCTCCCCCCTCCCTCCCCCTCTTCTCACGATGAGCTGCACGACGGCGGGCCTGCCGTTCTTGATGGCAGAGCGCAGCCGGTCCAGGGTGGCCTTGTCGGTGGCGGGTCCCTGCAGGAAGCGGCAGTTGCGCCCCAGCACCTCCTCCAGCGCGTACCCGGTCAGGCGGCAGAAGCCGTTATTGACGTAGACCAGGGGCATGTCGGGCAGGGTGCAGCTGGCAATGACGATGCCCTCCCGGACCGCGTGCAGCGCACGCTCCTTCAGCAGCAGCAGCTCGGAGTTGAGCGGGGGCGGGGGCTGGTGGCCGGGCATGACCGCCCCCGCGCCGCGCTGGGGCAGCGGGGCGCTGGCCAGGGCCCGCGCGGCGCTGGGGCCCTGGCCCGGGTCGGGGAGCCAGGCCTGGAAGGTCTGGGACCCGGCCAGCATCGCGTTCTCGTCCTGCAGGTGTTTGATCTGGGACTCCAGCTCCGACACCCGCTGCTTCAGCTGCAGCACCGTCTCGTGGGTCTGTGGCCAGGGAGGGCAAGCGGTTAGGGGGGGATTCGGAGGCGATGAGCTGGGATTATGCACCCGATGGGGCCATGGGGGAATGGTTGCAGAAGCATGAAGGCAACAGCCCGTGATGCTCCGGCCGCATGTGCAGGCACGGGATGCCATGAATTCGCGAAGCCGCATCATGACATGCCGGTGTCGAGCACCACAGCCGCAGCCTGCCCTTACCGGCGCATCCAGGGAGGAGAACGAGCGCCGGGGTGGGTCCCCCCCGCCGCGGCCCTCGCCCATGATCGGCAGGAGGGTTAAAGTGTCATGGCTGGCGGGCGATCGCCTCGGGTCATGTCGCTGGCTGTGAAACGATGTGCCGGCTCGGGATGCGCACGCATACGTCTTGACTCGTTGTGTGGTTGGCACGGCACCCAGCTGGTCCCCAAGCGAACATTCACTCTCGTGCCTCCTCCGCCTGCTCCTGGCCTGGACTCACCCAAGCCTTAACACTGGTCGATTACGCCATAACAACAGACACACAGCAGATCGAGCGGGCTGCAGCAGCAGCACCCTTAAACTTCGTAGGGTCGTGGTGTGAGGTCCTGTGGGTGTCCAGGGGCTCGGGGTGGGGGTCGCCCCGCGCCCCCCTCGCCAAGCAAGCAGGGAGAGGAAAGGCAGTCAGTCAGTGAGGGGACAAGGTGCTATGGGGGCGATGTAAGGGTGGAGCGGGCGGCACATGGTAGCCGCCGCTCACTCCTCGCCCTGTTTGCTGGGGGCCTGCCCCGCCACCGCGGGCGGCGGCGGCACCATCAGCGGCGGCACCGTGGGCAGCATGCCGCCGGGCAGGAAGCCCGGGAACTGGAAGGGCATGGGCGGCAGGGCGCCCTGCGCGGCGCCGCCGGCCCCCGCCTCACCCTCGGCCTTGGGCGCGGGGGGGAAGCCCATGGGCAGCAGCCCGCCCTGGAGCAGGCCCGGGGTGAGGAAGAGGTGGGGCGCCCACATGAACATGCCGTGCGGGTTGGCGGCCATGGCCGCGGCAAAGTTGGCCACCGCCGCAGGGTCGGCGGCGGGGCCCATGCCCGGCGCCAGCTCCATGCCCTCCGCGCCGCCGGCGGCGGCGGCCATGGCGGCCGCCGCGGCGGCGCCCGCAAACGCGGCGGCCGCCGCACCCGCGCCCGCGTCGCCGTCCTTGCCGGGGGCGTCTTC